AAACGAATTTTTGAGATAATAATCGGATGAGGATCCTTCTGCATAAAATGCTGCACAGGGAACCTGAGTTCTTAGTTATGTTACAGAGATTGACGATGAAGATGTCACTGGTGAAATATGCAAAAATTCTCCAGGCAAAGTTGTAGGACAAGTCATAAGCAACTTAGGTTCATTTATAACACGCGAAGTTGATGTTGAATCTGGAACGGGCAAAGACAGTGTCGAACTAGCTGTTTCTGATACATTTAGTTCGAGTTCAATGATAGAGGAACTTGATTCTATCTCATCTCTTTTGTCTTGAGAATTTTCCGTATCGTTATTGCTCTCCTTTAAACTGCGATTAATGCTTATGGTTATACTATCCCTGGCTATCGCATACGACATACTGGTCATACCATTTAAATTGCATTCCGGTAGAGTATCTGGACTTTCGGTACAACCACCTTCACTGTGTTTTAAACGTATAATCCTTAAATATTGTTGTCCTACAGACAGTCCAGATTGCTTTTTAGTATCTTCAATCAGTGTTTGGTGGTCGTTTATATATTTTACTTTCGCTGTAAGATCTGTTATTCTCTGATTTGTTCTTCTAAAATCGTATTCGTGTTTTTTGGAATTTTCTTTCTCGACCTCATTTTGCAATGAATCTAGATATTCATTAATGGTAATTCTAGTATTCGTTAACTCTTCTATATATTTATCTTTTATGGTTTCTATTTTCATCAAATTTGATTTTTCTTTAACAGCGATTTCTGTTAAATAGGTTTTGCGTTCTCCGATAGCAGATAAGAGGTCCTTGTAGGTAGATGTCAGTGTTGTTTCATCTACAATGTCATCAACTTTTTCAACTTTGCTACAATTTCTATGGTATTGGCTTTTACATAGAACGCAGCATGCGTTTTCGTGATTGATACAGATATACTCTAAAAATTTATCTGGATGCTCCTCGCACATATCGCATCCATCTTTTACTACACATACAGCCTCTTCCTTCACAATGTGAGATACCACAGATTCCTCGATGGAGGTAAATGTGGACACATTGTGACTTTTGCTGAGCTTAAATGATAGGTGTTGTGATTTACAGCTTTCACAAAGCGCTTCTTCACATTCGATGCACCAATAGTCTGCAGCTGTTTTTCGGTCCTGTTCACTACATGGCTGGCACTGCATTGTCTAAAAAAATTACAATACATCAAATTTAGTATTGATATGCATCAAAGTATTAGTGACGGTTATTTTTTGTCATCTATGGTCTTATTCCTTTGGAGGGTTTATTACTTATCTGTTACAGGGTTCGTTATTTAAAATATTATATTAATAAACTGGCTGTTTCAACATTTGTTTTAATCGTCCGATATATGAAGATTTACGGTAAGCTATTGGTAACAGATGTAACCCTTAACAAGATACATGTGGTCGCCAAAAAATTACTAGAAGATCGAATGAACCAAAATCAAGTCACACTTTGTGTTAGTTGACAATGGAGATGAAACTTTTAAAGAATAATCCTACTTAGTAGATTATTAATTTTTCGCAGAACTAACTTAGCACTAAAAAGGCAACCTTGAATCATAAGTCGTTTTTTTTTACCTTCGATCAATAAGACGAGTTGGGTCTTCCTTCACAGTATTTTTAATCGAAATTACAGGGCGTAAGAGTTACTGTGAAACTACTACTCTAGAGGTGTGATATAGATAATTATAAAAATAGAAATTAAATTACAAAAAATAATTAATCCCTATCCTCATGTTGAAGCTAGAGAAAACATACGAATTATCTACTCCTTACAATAGAACTAAAATCATTCCAAACATAAACTAAAAAACAAATTGATAATATTCATAAACCAGAATAGCAAAAAGTAAAATCACAAAAATACTTAACTCCGACAAAAAATTGAAAGTCCCTGTTCAGATAGCAAAATCAAAAGCTCAAACACATCAAACGAACGGATAACAACTGTCACACCGTATAGCAGGTTATTTTCGCGGGTGTAAAATTTCGCGATTTAGGGGCAACAAAGTATACGAAAAATTTTTGCGGTTTTTATTTTGGCGGATTCTTTAATCCCAATCAATTATTTTGTCGGATACTAAAATGGTTACAGTTAAAAAGTTGTAAACATTGAAATGTGTCTATTGTTATGGTTAAATGATTGTTTGACCTGCATGACGTCTGATTTACTGGTGTAGATGTTACGGTTGATTAGTTAGGAAATGGACCAGATCTTTGATGTACTGATAAGATCATACAATTATCATGAGTGACTTGTATTTCTTATATAATTTGACATTAATCAATAAGGATAACACACCTGACAGAGTACCTTACACTCTCATATTATCAAATATTTTATTATGGAACCAATTAACTAATTAACACCTGACAGCCAGGAAACAGTAGCCTATCGCATTCATGTTGGTTAAATTAACATAAACCATTATAGATCCGACGGAAGCTTTAGCTTTTGGAAAGTACCAAACATATGCATAAATTTCCGCGAAAATAAGCGAAAATAAACATCCCGCGAAAATAACGCGCTTTACGGTATTCTTGACTTGGAACAGGCATTTTCCTATGTATAAAATGTAAACATGTGTTTATCCCCTTTGTATTTTTTTCCTTTTCTGTGTCACAACATTTCAACTTAAAAGAAGTTCATATCCGCTAGTTGATACGATATTCGAGTATATGTGTTTCTATCATGATTTCCTTGATTGAAGGTAACTGCTTACAAATCGGTTCCAAGTTTTGGAATTAAATTATTTCTTTCTGAAGTTTCTACTTTTGGTGTATCTCTGTCACTAGCGTGTCGAAACTACAATCCCGTCCACTTTTCACTGAATGTTAGGTAAAGATTTATACGTATAACTGCATGAACTTGGTTTGTACAAAAATGAGCAACACGACGTGTTGCTACATGTGCAGCAGGTTCTGCTTTTAATCCGGAGCACTTAAGATCATCCCTACCCTCCAGTTTCTGGTGAGTGTTGCTTAGTCTTTATTTTTCTGCGTTGTGTTTCGAGTACTGTTATTTGTTTGTTGGTCTCTCTCTTGTTTAGCCATGGTGTTGTCAGTTCATTCTCTTCTCATGAGTTTGATTGTCCCTTTGGTATATTTCGTCTCTCATTTTCAGTACAAGGACATCATTTAATGTTACGTGTACGGATAATGTCAATTTTTTCTTCATTTGTTAAGCTTATTATTAAGTCAGCCTTAAAGAATAATGAAAATGGAGGCATGCAGAGGGACCATTTAGTTCCAATTAGAAATTGTATTGTTTGATGAAAATGCCTCCATCATACATATATATAGCCCTTTATAGCTTACTGTTCGGTGTGAGCCAAGGCTCCGTGTTGAAGACCGTACTGTGACCTATAATGGTTTACTTTTATAAATTTTGACTTGGATGGAGAGTTGTCTCATTGGCACTCATACCACATCTTCTTATATCTATGTAACAAACAAAATATTTTGATGTTGTCAGATTCGCGGTGATGCTTTATGTCGAAACGGTATGATTATTCACAGATTGTAAATCTTAAAGCAATTTATTCATTTTTCAGTGCATTGACCTTTTTATTTTATTATAAAACAAGGTTGTGTCAAATCAGTAAATACACATTTTAGTAAAGAATGAGAAAAACTAGTGTAAAAAGTAAAGTAATCATAAGTTTGCTCTATAGCAGTAGGAGATGTGTATTTAATCTAACAAATACATGTATCTTAATTTTCTTTAATTTATCCACATTTTATTTACATCCCCCTAGAGTATGCAGTTTCATTGTTACTCTGAAATCCGATTTTGATAGCTGATCAAATAGATAGTAACAATTTGGAAAGCAGCTTCCAGAAGTTCCAACGTTATTTTATGGACATCCAGTAGAATTAACGGATAAACTGTCGCGGAAATACACCTTCCTACTTTTTTTATTCAAGCGCCACGGACTAGTTTAATAAAGACAAAAAGCGCGTATTGTTTTATTCATAATTCTGGTATCTTCAATGAGTTTTGTTTCAAAATACCCAAACAGAAAATGAGACACCTGTAATAACAGACCCAAATGTGTCTTTTGTGGCGTCTAACCTGAAAATGGAGATACTGATAGCGGATTATTTTGGAATATGTCTTTGTTTCATTTCTCTTCATTTACCCTTGAACAAAAAGCAAAATGCAATTTTCAAAATGATTTGATATAACCCAGCAGGCACAACAACGTTGATTCAACATTGAATAAACGTCAGATTTCAACGTTGAATCAATGTTGAAAAGTAGTGTTGGATTGAAAATTGATATGACGTTGAAAACATAACGTTGATTCAACGTCAGCTTTCAGGTAGACTGTTTTAGGGTTAATTTAAGTTGAAACTCGAAATGTGGTACATGCTGAGAATAGGATGTTGAACATTGGTTAAATTAAGGTTTGATAACAGCTTAAATCATTACCCCTTATTATGTCCATCAATTACCTTTTATGTGTAATAAAACTATCGCAAAACTATATGTACTAAGTGAGAGTAGTCATGCGTCGGTGTTAAATGTACATGTAGTCTGTTGCAGAATTCAATATTTATGTCATTGAGATTTCTGCCTGTTCGAATACTTCCCTTTTTAAATTTCTCTACATTTTATGATCAAGTGGAAAATAAATCATTCTATTTGTTTTTGTAATACTGGTAAGGAGACCACTCATTTCTGAATCTGATGTTTATGATTCAAGACTTGACAAGAAGAACAGGAACAACTTATTAACCATGTTAACCTTGCCAGGCATAAATAATCGGAAACTTTATTGTTATGTCAGTTGGCATACATTTTTGTAACTTTATTTTGCTTTATAGACAGGATCTTATTGTGCTTATAACTATTCTGTTAATACACAAAATATGTTTGTGACATAAAACAGTAATTATATACCAAGTTGCTCACATATGCATCTTACAATTTTAAACAAACACAAACTGAACAATTAATTTTATTTAAAAATTTAGTCCTTCTGCTAGACACATTCCCAGATATAACAGGGGCATATTTTAGGTATCTTGCACAGTAGTTCCATATTTTGGTCTCTGTTGCACATTAGTCACTTGTAACTACAACATCTGCAACAGAAAAAACATATTGTACTATCTTTATCATAACTTCGTAAATATCATTATGCAGCTCTTATAAAGAAAACTGCTGTTATATGTGAACAAACTAGATATCATTGAGATGGGAGCCATCTCTGTGGGCCCCGCTGAGAATAATGTGCTTAAAAAAAAATTGTAACTTTACCATAGGACATGGGGTTGTCAACTGAAACCAAAGTTTTTGACCTTGAACTTTGACCTAGGAAGTTGTATATAAATTGTGACACACCCTCTGGTGTTGGTTTATATACATGTCAAGTATAAACCTTGAAATCATAACGGTTCTCGAGATATAGAGCGGACACGATCTTTACCATATGACATGGGGATGTCAACTAAAACAAAAGTTTTTGACCTTGACCTTTGACCTAGGAAGCTGTACATACATTATGACACACCCTCTGGTGTAGGTTAATATACATGTCAAGTATAAACTTTGAAATCATAACGGTTCTCAAGATATAGAGCGGACACGATCTTTACCATAGGACATGGGGTTGTCAACTGAAACCAAAGTTTTTGACCTTGACCTTTGACCTAGGAAGCTGTACATACATTATGACACACCCTCTGGTGTAGGTTAATATACATGTCAAGTATAAACTTTGAAATCATAACGGTTCTCAAGATATAGAGCGGACACGATCTTTACCATAGGACATTGGGTTGTCAACTGAAACCAAAGTTTTTGACCTTGACCTTTGACCTAGGAAGCTGTACATACATTATGACACACCCTCTGGTGTAGGTTAATATACATGTCAAGTATAAACTTTGAAATCATAACGGTTCTCAAGATATAGAGCGGACACGATCTTTACCATAGGACATTGGGTTGTCAACTGAAACCAAAGTTTTTGACCTTGACCTTTGACCTAGGAAGTTGTACATACATTATGACACACCCTCTGGTGTTGGTTAATATACATGTCAAGTATAAACTTTGAAATCATAACGGTTCTCTAGATATAGAGTGGACACAATTTGTTACGGACGAACGGACGGACGGACAGACGGACGGACGGGCGGATGGACGGACGGACGGACAGACTGATCACTATAGGGCGTCCGCCATTCGGCGGGATCCTAATAATCTCTGTGCAATGCTATTGTTATTTCTTTAAATATCTATTGAGAGCGACCATGTGTTTTCTTTTTAACTTGAGTTCAGACATGAGATAATAAAAATATTTCTAAAAAAAAAACAAAGATTTTAGAGACAAAGTGACAAAATCACACAATATTTGTAATATGGAAAAACAATGATATATATTTTAATACTCACCTCTTATTATTTCAAACTATTTGAATCACCGAAGGCATGTTTATTCTTTATACCCGGTATGTACTTTCCGACACGGGTTTATTTGTAAGACATCTACAAATAAAAATAAATTTTAAGTGCATCATTTCTAAATTGTCAACTCCCTCTTTAACTTGAAAACAAAAAGTTTCAAATGTGTGAAACGCGTACAAAATTTTGACTTCCAAAACCTTTCATAAATTGGATGAAAACATTTAAGTTCAATTATTTTTATTTTAGCATTACGTTAAACTTGTCCTCCATAATCCAACAAGATTCTGGAATCAGTAGCGAATCCAGAAATTTTCATAAGGGGGGCCACTGACTGCATAAGGGGGACCGCTACAGTCATGCTTCATTGATTCTTTATATAATCAACCATTTTTTTTCCTCAAAAGGGGTGCCCGGCACCGTCCCCAGCTCTGCCTCTGAGAATCAAGGGCTTTATAATTAATTTTAATTCTAAATTATAGTTTGAAGATCTCACAATACGCTAATGGGGTTTCAATTTTATTTATCTTGACCGTCACTTATCTTGAAAAACAATAATGCACCACAGGCAACAAGATCTTGACAGTCACTTATCTTGAGAATCAATAATGCATCACAAGCACCGAGATCTTGACAGTCACTCATCTTGAGAAACAATAATGCACCACAAGCACCGAGATCTTGACAGTCACTCATCTTGAGATACAAAAATGCACCACAAGCACCAAGATCTTGACAGTCACTCATCTTGCGAAACAACAATGCACCACAAGCACCGAGATCTTGACAGTCACTCCTCTTAAGATACAAGAATGTCCCTATATATACTTTTTTAGTGTTTCGGCAGATATATAAAGCTTTGGATGGTCATCTTAAGATGCTTTACTTTAATATAATATAAAATAAATATTATTCACGTATTATATATTAATATATATATATGTCTTTTTACATCTAAATTCTTCATCAATAGATACTGTCGGCATGGTTGCTAAACGCAAGAAGTAGTTCAACTTTGAACCTGTGTTTACATTTTCTTCAAGTTTCAATAAATTCCAGTCTTTCGTGATAAGTCTTATTTAATTTTACGTTAACATGCATATGAATTAAGTTTAGATATTAAAACTAAAGGAATATTTTCTATTTCCTTGAATTTTTTGCGCTGTAATAATTCAATACAGTCAATTGATAAAAGATCTATTTCGACGTTATCATATAAACCACTTTGAAATTGGTCAGATCATTGTGTATTAATTTGTTATGGTCACACATGTTTCTTATCTGCCGCTTCATTAATAAATCCTTGGAATACAAGCTGTGAGTGACATCTATTCTGACCCAGAGAAAATAATGTGTTTGTTTTAAATGTGTTGCAAGGTCAAGAATGCCATGTGTTGTAAATCTTTGACTTTTAATTATATCAACACATTAAACATGTAAAAGAACAAGTATGCGATCACATATGTGAATTTCACTGATGATAATTGATTATTATTATTTGCCAGACAAATAAATTCTTCAAGTCATCCGATGTTCCATAATATATTATGACTCCACCCTCCCAATATCTGCAACGATAGAATTCTTTGCCATACGCTTTTGTTTTTAATTACCAAATCATTGTTCATAAACACACTCCCCCTTTTTCAAGTCTTTACATAATAAGTTGCCTCACCCAATAAATGAACAAATATATCTTAAGGTCAACCTTGTTGTTCCCCGAGACTTAAACAATATGTGTGTATCTTATCTGCTGGAATATGACAACTACGTGTATAATTATAAATTATATCTGATCTGCTTAAATCACTTTACTCATATAATTACAGCTACACTATTGTATACATTAAATTATCATATAACTATTATTAAATCAAACAATAAATGAAAATTATACTTACTTTGCACTGCTGAGAGCAACTGTTAACTTGATGTGGTAATCAAATGGGGGCAAATAAATTCGAAGTGTCGGCCTCATACGCATGCGTCAATCAGAAAAAGATATCCGTTTCGAGTAATTATAATATTTTATCGCTAAAGATTAATTTATATATGCAACAGTAATCATTGAATTTATTTAAAAACATCAGTAAACCAATATAAATAAAAAGTGATTATTTTAGCAAAAAGGACTATACAAAGTTGGTTCAATCTCATCTTGAAGGAAACTTTGGTCGACACTTAAAGTCACCAACCTTAACTAAACCTTTTATCAACGTTATATTTTCAACCAATTAAAGCATTGAAAGCATCAACTCAAATTCAATGTTAATTCAACGTTGAAAGTTCAACGTTGATATTTTTAACCACAAATCAACGTTGATTCAACAACGTGATTTAAACGTTGATAGGATTGACGTTGATACAACGTTGATTTTACGTTGATCAACGCTACAACCAAATTTCAACATATTTTCAACGTTGGTTCAACGTTGTGTGCCTGCTGGGAAACTTCCGTTGAAAGATGTACTTAAGTTGTGATCGTCATCATTTTAAAGAAATTGACAGGAACAGACCAGTTTGATTTCAATTTATTTATACATACTTGGGAAGATCTCTTAAAACTTAATTAAAGAAACAACTGTTGATCTGGAAGCCATGTTCAAAATTTTATTAGAACAAAGTTATAATGATGTATATATAAAATAATACGGAGCTTCGTAAAATAGTCATAAATTCAAAGTAATCAAACATTCTTTATTTGTTTAAAACGGTAGATATCAATTTCGAAAGATATACAACTGTGCAAACATTTTGAAATTTGAGTAGATATAACATTGACAATGTCAGGTTCTATTGGCAGGTACTTTATGTGTTTGTAATACACATGCTACATTATGTGTATCATTTTGTATTTTGTTTTTTCACATGCGTTTAAACTGTATCATTGCAAAACGGCATATGTAAAAAAAATCAGGATCGCTTGACTGAATATTTATATGTACGACAAGATTACGAGCATCTGTACATGTGAATATAGATGGGGGTCTTAATTTAAATACAAAGAATATTTTGATAATTTGTCAAAATGTAGTTTATATCATGCTTTTTTCAAAAATGTAATAAAAAGTAAGGATCACCTTGCTTTTTTGTACGCTACGGGTTAAGCAAAATATTCAGATTTTGTATAGATTATACATGGAAAATCCAAATTTCGGTGATAAAAAGAAAACTTCACCATAGAATTTTAAGATAAAATATGAGAATATAGCTCTAATAATATGCTTTCAGATAAGAAAAAAAAAAATAATGGGGTCACGGGACTCGTTTTCTTCTACATAATAAAATAGGTAAATTTCCACAACATATTCTTTTATAAAAGTTACTTTATCGAGTTATCTCCTGTTATATCTGAGTTTTCTACCCTTATATGGCAAAATTAAAAAAGATAATAATAAAATAAAAATAATTAGATTATTGTAAAATACAGCCGTAAATATGATATAACACATTATTTTCTATATCAACATGAAAAGTCTTACACATGAATTACATACTATTTTCGAAATTTGCAAATTTCATTAAAGATCTAGACCGATTGTTATCGGCCTTTTTAAAATCCAAGATGGAGGAAGACACCCTATCTACCTTAAGCTAACTAAAGCAATGCAGATACTTTTATAAGGAAGATCTAGGATCAAAAATCTAATTCCATCGGTTTTACAATATGTTGTAAGTATTCATTCCTGTCTTACTTTTTTATACGCCCGTTTACCGTAAGTATTATATTATACAGTTATCCGACCGTCCGTCCGTCTGTCCGTTCGTCGTCAACATGTCGGACAATAACTCAAAAACGCTTGAGACAATTTGCAAAAAACTTTGGTGAATTCTTTATATCTATTGACGTGTGCTCCCTTTCAATTTTTAAAAATTTTAGATTTTGTGTTTCCAAGTTATGGGTTTTTTCATTACAAAGGGGGGATTTTCCAGTTTCGGACAATAACTCAAAATCACTTACACCAATTTGCAAGAAACTTTGGTGAATTGTTTATATCTATTGATGGGAGCTCCATGTGAAATTTTATGAAATTTTGATTTTACGTTTCCGAGTTATGGGGTTTTATTCATATAAAAGGGGAGATTTTCCAGTTTTCGGACAATAACTCAAAAGTGCTTTGAGCGTTTTTCATGAAACTTTGGTGACTAGTTTATATTTATCAAAATAACTTTCCTTTAGTTTTCGATAAATTTCTGATATGACACCGTCAACTTATTGAACGTTATTCTTTAAAAAAAAACGACGGGTGTATATTGCGCTCATGGCGTAGGTTTTTATTATTCATAAAAGAGAGACGAAAGATACCAGAGGGACAGTCAAACTCATAGATCGAAAACAAACTGACAACGCCATGGCCAAAAATAAAAAAAAGACTAAGCAACACGAACCCCACCAAAAACTGGGGGTGATCACAGGTGCTCCGGAAGGGTAAGCAGATCCTGCTCCACATGTGGCACCCGTCGTGTTGCTTATGTATTACAAATCTGTTAAATAGTATAATTCGGTAGGTCACATAATCTGACATGTTATTGCCATTTCAAATCGATTATTTACCTTAATCAAATATTAAAGATAAAGTAGACTTTTGCTTTCATTCAAAGGTAAACCAAAAGTAGTTGATAAACATAGACTTCTTATCCTCTACTTATAGGCTAGAAAATACTTGGTCATGTTTTATAAAGAGTCAAAGCCCAGGGCGTAGCCGAGGGCTTTAAATCTTCATACATCATTACCAAGTATTGTCTGACTAATTTAGAACATGTTCACACTTTCGAGTGACCTTAAAAATTATCCGTTCCCAGTGTAATTTTCAAAAGTAAATAAGAGTTCACTTTATATAATTAAGTAAATGTATAACATAGGTAATGATCATTTCAATGGATGAAATGAAATAGCACTGGCATAGATTGTGAGGACAAAAAGGATAAAATTGTTAACACATAATACTGTTATATCCAAAATTTCTGGATTTTATAAAGCATACAATGTTATATAAATCCGCTTTTTGAAAACATTTTTTTTTTTATAATTATAAAACTCATGGTAAATATATTCGAACTCAGACCATTCAATATTAGATGCTTACTTTTTATTGATAGATGTACATGTATTGTGGGTTTTCTTTTCGAAAATAAATCCTTTGCTTTATATATCAGCAGTCTGACATTGGATTCTTGAACGAAAAAAATAATAATTGACTCGAATGTCAGGTATGAAAATTGAATAAATATTATTTTACCAACATCTTTCCCACCATTTCATTTTTTGTGTATTATATATATATATATATGTGTGTACCCTGTACCAAGTCTTGAATATGACAGTTGTTATCCATTCGTTTGATGTGTTTGAGCTTTTGATTCTGCCATTTGATAAGGGACATTCCGTTTTGAATTTTCCTCGGAGTTCAGTATTTTTGTGATTTTACTTTTTCTATTACAAAATGTATAAACATTTGCAAAATTCAAAATGTTATTTTCTAATTCTTTTCTCTTTTATTTGTAATCAGTAAGCTATTTTCCAAAGGAAAATGCCTCAGGAGATTGTACACTTTGTTGGTTTAGTTATGAAAAGTTCACTTTCATAATAAATCTACAATGAAAATTCATTCATGTATAGCATTTTATAGTGCACGGAAAGCCATGTACTATGAAAAAAAGAGGGGGAAAACTAACTTTTCATTGGACGAGAATTGGTGAGTATGTTCTACAAATTACTATTTCTCCCATGCTACAATATTATTCCTCGAAATAGGTATCAATTAACAGTGTTCCTTATATCGAATTTGTATCTAAGAATATTCACTGTCATGGCATTTTACCCTAAGATACAATGAATAAAATGTCATCTGGATAAAAAAGAATATTTTGAAGGAAAAAACACAGAAATTGAAGGCCATAAAATATAATTGTGTTTTCAATTGAGGGGGAAATGTTGTCATTCTAATGTATTTTTATAATGAAATACAAAATTCAATTTTACATCACTTTTAATTTATGCCTGATTTTTGGTACAACAAACATAGATGGAGAATACACCCATAAATGGGAATAATAACAATATTGAAGATCTTCCTAAGCCCATTTTACAGAAAAGGCTTTTAAAAGAAGGATCCTGTGAACACCTTTTATTTCTTTTTTTATGTTATTGGTTGCAACGTCAAATGAAATTTTAACAAATGGTACAGATCATCAGACAAGACATAATCAGCGAAAATATGTTTCAAAAAAGCTAAAGATGAAAAATTGTTACTAAAATTTAAAAAGATAGAATATGATGGTCATGTATTAATTCTTGATAAAAGTAAAACTTAATCTCACTTGTTATATCCGATGTACGTCCTAATGAAATACATTTACATAGCTCTGAACTTCTTCCCCGTATAAAAGTGGATTGTGTGTTGCCTTTTCTTTCGTTGTTATTTATCTAACCGTTAATGTGTCCTTCCCTCCTTGTCTAATGATTTTCAATTCTCTATTCGTTTGTATGTATTGCTATTTTTATCACACTGTATAATTGATCAATTTAAGTGCTTTCAAGTCTAGAAATAGGTGGCAAATTCGTTAATCATTTTATGTTCTCAAAATGTTTTTAAACTTCAACTACTCAATAACTTTCACATACCATTTTATATGATGTACAAACATGGTGAAAATTTTTAAAATCCACTCAGGTGTTTCCGTTTGTGATCGTTTACTGCGCCATACTCTTCCGCCTAATCTTTTTGATAGTTTGTATTATATCATAAATGTGTCTTACAGTATAGGTAAAACTATACGTCGTGAGATATAAATAAAACCGTTTACCTTATTTTGTATAGTTAAATTCCTCAGAGATACCAGGATTGAAATTTTGTATTTGCACCAGACGCGCGTTCCGTCTACAGAAGACTCAACAGTGACGCTCGAATAAAAAAAAAAAAGGCAAAAAGGCAAAAGAAAAGTACGAAGATGAAGAGC